AAAAAAATTTAAAAAGTAACAATAAAGGAGAAAAACAAATACTTCGATAACGCATCCATAATTTCTTCAATGGGTTCGAAAAATATTGCATATAGATGACGAGTAATGTAAGACATGTTTTAAAAAATAAGTTTCAGCGAAAATTCTTAACATGGTGATCCACCAATGATGGTTAGGCTCACAAGCAAAATAAACGATATTAAAAAAAAATATTGTTAGCCTTGGAAAAAAAGCCGCTTAGGAAATTAGCAAATCGCTTAACTTGTATGGAGAATGATGAATAAAAGGAAAAAGGATTAAAAAACTCACTAATGTGCTCAATGCTGCCAGTACAAAACTTCGGATAAAAAATTTTCGCTCCTAGTGATTTTAGGTCTTGAATTACAAATTCCCAGAGATGCAGTACATTATTACGACTAAATCGATCTCGTTGTTCAACGAGCACAACGCGAGATCCAAGCAGAGCGCATTCAATGGCAGCTCGTAAACCACACGGTCCTAGAAAAGTTAACAATTTAAAGCGTTTGGAGATAAAATCGGGTGAAAAAAAGGGATTTCAAACATCACCCACCCGCTCCAATCACAAAAACGTTCAAGCGTTCACCAGCGGTTTGCTTTTTATATTCAGCGAGTTCCCACTTCTTGTCAAGAAGTTTGAACAATTTTTGGGCCTTCCAATCGTCTAATAACCGAAGTCTAAATTAAGAAATTTTTGAGCATTAGGCGGGGAGATAAAAGAAAGAACTGCAGAACAGTAAACCGAGCATAAATTTTACTTTCTGTACACATTAATCGAATCCGATGGATCGATGTCGGCTGCTATGCATAACTGATAGAATGAATTCTGTATGGAGCGAAAAGTTGACGCCGTGACAAAATTCTCAAACACAGCGCCCATATCCATAATTGCCTATCGAATCAGTTAAATCGGCATCTAGAGAACATCTAAAAATGACAAAAGCTAAGTCAAAGCTTTTCAAGAGCCACACAAACAAACAATACTATATCAGTATTGACGAAATAAATCTTTCTCAAAGATAACAGTGCAGACGAAAAGGAAGAAAACATGAACATATGTGAATAACTCGTGTTATCTGTACAGCTGTATAGATAATGGATGGCAGTAATTCATCACGCACATACACACATGACTCTGCAGGGAGAAGAGGAGAAAAGCGAGGGGCAAACTTTGGAAAATGACTCACAAAGCAACTATACATAAACTTTACTAAAATTTATAAAGAGTAAACGTAGTCAATACATTACAAAGTTAGTTGGAACATTTCGTGAATGCTTGCAAATCATTCTTCGTTAAAAAGACGAGCTTTGCCTTTCTTGCACCTAAAGGGCGAGAATATAGCCAGCTAAAGCGTTAACTATGACTCTAGAATAAAATATATCAAATCGCATTCTATCCAACATATCAAACACAATAAATAAGAACTAACACAGTTTATAAAAAAA